TAAATATTCAAGAAAATAACTGGGAACATGAAAAGTTGAAAAACTTGCATTCGGGCAGTCTGGCTCGACGTAAAGAAGAACAGCTATAAATATTTCCAATTGTTTACAAAATGGGCTGATAACTATTTTCAAGTAATGAAAACTGAATTTTCATAATTCTATACTAAATTGTTAAAATCGCAATTAATACTACATCAACACTGAATTTTTACGGTAGACATTTGCTTATTAAAGAGTCTGAAATCTTTGACCTAATCTAAAATTATCGCGGTTCATTTTAAAATAGACACAGCAAAATTCAGAATCTGCATTTTTAACCTAAGTCTTTTCATTCTCGGACACTAGCTTTGGAGCAAGACTGGCTAAATGTGCCAGTCGTTTATCCATCTCACTGCCAATAACTTTGCCAAGGGTACACCAGGGAGGAACTGATATCGTTAGCGAAAAGAAAACACATAAAAACACCAAAGCATTATGCAGGTTTTGAACTCGACATTGGAATTCAAGGTCTAACAGAGCCGTGTTGATAACACCTGTAAATAATATTAGTATATAATCTGGCTTAGAATTCCAATAAATGGGTTTGCTGCATGGGAGTTTTCGTGGCTTATTTTATGTTTTTATGTGTAAAGTGGACACGAAACAGTTTTCCTTCTCCACAAGGCCCACTAGCGTCCGAGCGGTAAAGTCGCTGAAAACTGGTAGTTCGGTCCTAGGTACGAATTCTACAAACGAGCTGGCTGCATGGGCGTTTTCGTAGTTTTCCTTTGTGTAATGTGTATACGAGACTGTTATCCTTAGAAAGTCCTCCAGGAAGGAGTCACTCTCCTTAGGCAGCAGATCACTCGGGTCCTTTGCCGTAACGAAATAAACCAAATCAAAACCTTCTCCACGAAGGCATTTCTTCCCTTAGGCAGGTAGCTCTGGAGTACTTTGTCATATTGAAATAACCTAATCTAACCTAACTCCAGAACGGTATAATTATTTATATAATTCTGGAGAATATAGCAGTCAGTCTTCGCTAATCAGTGTATTAAGACGATATATACTTGGCCAAATCAAAAGGTTATGGGATTAGCTTAGTAAATACTATTTAATAGATGGCAAAAAAAGGTTGCTTTAGTAGCCGTAGTAACTTTAAATCTTGATAAAGCAGTATACAAAAACCCATCGTTGTGTTAACATGCCTAATTATTATATCGGTAATTTTTGTAAACACATATGCATAGCATTCCGTGGTTACATCACGGATAGAAACCCGGCAAGCCAATCTGAAATTCTGGCCTAGGCAAATCGCCCAGTGAGGCATCGAATGTGGCATCGTATGCAATGTTTCAGGTTGCGCAGGCATTTTAGAAGGCAGAAGACGATCCCTTGAAGATGAAAAACCAGCAAAAAGATCTTTCACTAGCATCACCTAAAAACCAGAAAAATAATTAAGAGCTTTTGCATGTGGACGTCGTAGAATGATCAACGATATTGCAGATATCGTTGTTGTGTTGTACGGATCAATCCTAGCGTTTTAAACATGTGGCACACGCAATGGATTATCTATAGTAAAAATGCACCCTATGCAGCTGAAAGGTCGTCGTTCTACCACCGTTGCCAAGATCCGTGATATAATCATAAACTACCACACACATTTGATAACAAATGCACGGATATAGAAACTCCATATTTTTAACATAGCGATATTTCTTTACATATTCCCAGTCAAGCTTGAAGGCCAATGTAAAAACTCAACCTTGTGCTATTGTTGACAAATTACAGATCTAATCTTGGAACGTTCTGATCCATGCTGATAACTTAAATTAAGTTAGGTAAAGCTCAGGTACTGCGAACAAAACTCACAGAATAAAATTAAATAGAAATTTGGCTTTAGTATTATCGCACATACGACATAATCAAACTGAATTTTTACTTCTTTGTACGAAGTAAATCATGAACGATTTCGGGTATTACATTTCAACCGAAATATCCATTTCGATAGTTGCTAAATCCATTGGGACGATTGTTTAACGTGAGGACTGTATACATACGGACGGTTGTTTTTCTTCGGAACGAATTGTAAAATGTATTCAAAAAGAAATTTTTAGTAACGTCTGTATGTACGCACGTATTTATGTATGTATCTTACCTAACTCAAAAATGATTAGCCGTAAAACGTTGAAATTTTGTACATGGAACAGCTATAATATCTAATTTTGCACTTCTCTTCTTTATTGCAATCGGCGGAACCAAACGTTTATATATTTATATAAATATACACTCATGCACTTACCGTGCTAAAGTTTTTGATAAATAATGAAATCTATGTTTTAATGCGATTTCCCGGTTTCTATAATTATCTTTGGGAAAGATTTATACTCGTTATAAAAAAATAAAAGTAGAAATTTAACTCCCGTACGACAAAAATTTACAGGAATATTTCATTTAAAAATCTGCAATTTTGGACATCATTTTCAACTTGTCTCAACACAATAAGATCGATTAATTAATTTCGAAGAAATGAATCTGAATGAAGTGCAGCAAAAAATGTGGATAACTTAATAGGCCATACAACGAAGTCACATGTTGTCCACATTAGATTTTTAATTATCTAAAGACAAAAAGAAGTTAACAAACTTTTTTCGAAAGCTTAATGCGTAAGTCTTAAAAATACATATCAATGAGAGAAGAAAATGGTTCAACTGTTAACAGTTACAGAGTTAACTACAGTAAATTAAATTCTAATTAAATTTAAAGGAAATCGCTTCATTTGCTCTTAATCAAAGCGTCCAGCTGCGATAATTAGAGGCTGATGTCTCGGCATTATTTTAGAATTTTGCAGGATTAAGTGAGTTTAAAACATTCTCCGAACTGCAATAGTAAGTGCTTAATTAGGGAAAGAAAGAAAACGCTGAACCACAGTACGCCATGTTCCTCTGCATAATCAAATTATCTAGCTAGGCAACCCACCGCAAATCTATTGTAAGGATCTTAAGTTTTACTAACGTTTATTTTATTTTAAATCTTTACTATCACTTCTTATTTTCTACTTCCGGCCAGAATTAAAAGCGTTAACTTATTTATGCAAAATTTGTCTGGCGAACGCCAAGTACTTAAGTTGTGGCATTTTGCCAAGCGAGAGAGAGGAAGGAGTTAGTCGAAGCAGGCCGCTTGCCTTAGAAGTTTTACTCGGTTGCTGGTTGCCTTCCAGGCCAGAGGTTTAATCCTCGTGATAATTAAACGTATTATAGTGTTAACAGTTCTCTGTACTACATACGGCTTCCTGTTAATATCCGGCCAATCTTACACTTAGGCCCTTGTTGATTATTCCAAATTTAAGTTAGAGTTTAGTTATATTTTTATATTCTTACGTTCAGACCACAAGTAGTTGGTCTCTGTATTCCGAAGTACGGAAATTATTGTAAAGAGTGAAAAATAAAGGGTTTTGTATAACCTTCTTGTGTATCTTGTCCACTTCCCACAGTTATTGAACATAGCTTTAGTAAGCTCCCTGTTCCGAGTCAGGTCCCTGCATGTTCCCAAAGAAAGTAAGGCGGAACATTGAACCTGATACTATCACCTAAAATTGTTCCACTTTCTTAAGCACTAAGTTCATCCTTTTCTGTTTATCCGTGAGTGCATATTTAAAAAAAATAAATAATTAAAGAACAGGAGCAAAGGCAATTTCCCTTTGCTAGGAAATAGAATTAATTATCTCAGCTTAAATTAGGAGGAGTTTTGAATCATAGTAAAGAGATTACAAATCTAGAACATATCCCTGCAGTAGAACGACGGTGTTGGAAGTTTCAAAATCATTATTTCAGGATTATAACTATTTTTGACAGTAAAAAGGGTATGGCAAAGTTCTCGAAATGTAAAATAAGAAATTTAAAGACAAAATATAAAGCTTTTATACAATCTAGTCAAAGGAAGGGAAACGCATTTAAAATATTCAGAATATCTATGTATAGCTTTCTAAATTTAATACTTTTTGATTAAAATTGATTATTGCTAGTAATTCAAAGTAAATGCACGCAAAGAGTATTAAAAATTATAGCATTTGAAAGAACGCTTAATGCAAAGTTATAAGGTATTTCTCCCGCCTTCTTGGCACGGCTTCGTGGTGTGGTGGTCTGCACGCTGTGTGCGTATTTCAGAGATCCGCCGTTCGATTCCCGGCGAAGGTTTTTCTAATTTTTCATCTTGCCTGCTTCCAAAAAATACCTAATATCTCTACATTGGCGCCTGAAATAAAAAGGGGTGTTGGATGATGATTCTCCACCCCCGGAATTTGGCAATTGAGTCCTCTAAAAGCCCTAGTCGCTCTTTAAAAGGGGAAGTATATAAGGTATTTCTCCCACCTTCTTGGCATGCCTTGCTGGTGTAGTGGTCTGCACGCTGGGCGCGTATTCCAGAGGTCCGCGGTTTGATTTCCGACGAAGGTATTGCTAATTTTTCATTTTGCCTGCTTCCAAAAATACCTAATGTCTCTACAAAGTTAAATTTAATAATAATCAATCGTTGAAATATAGCATAAAGATTACCACAAATAAACACAAATTTTATTGCTGATAGCGGTTTGTTTTGATATTAGTCCAGATTCGTCAAACCTTTGTTGCTACTCCTGCACTGTTGGCCACTAAAATTGCTATAACATGAAGGAAAGCAGAAGGATCATATTAATTTTACAGATACTTTACAACGGTAAATTGAAATTATTTAATTTTCAGGTAATTTTGAGATTCAGAATATGCGGATATCAACACCTTTATCATCTCCATTGGCATCAGTTAAAAACTTTTGTATGACTGCGTATGGACTCGAACAAGCTTTAGATTGGAATTGCAAGTATTGAAATCCGTGCGGCTACCCTTCCATGCTAGAGGTACTTTGTCGTATGCACGATGTACCATAATATGTAAACTCTAGATGTTTGGAAAGCGTTAGTTTCTCTTTTCCTCAACATTTCTTTGTGAACTCCTATAAAGCTTGCAATTTTTTAAATAGTTAGTATGAGAAGGCATTACCAGTTGACCCATCGTACATCGTACATGGATGGTGTTGTTGTGCCAGTCACTCTGATACCAGTGGTTTTTTCAGCTGCTGGAAGATCCGGAGAATGCACCGCCCAAGCAGGAATCGAACAGCATTTGCAAGGAGCAAACGTAGGACACTGTGAGCTCTAATATTTTGCTATTGAGAAGTAGAGAAATAAAGGCACAAAAGCTACGTTAGATCCATAAGTATTAAAAGCGTAATGTAACGGTGTTGGTCAACGTACCGGGCAAGCTTACTAGAGGGGAATGTGATGTGTGTCCAATGGCTTGGTTGCGTTGGGTTTATTGATTACGGCAAAGCCTCGAGGGCTATCTGCCTAAGAAAGAGGTGCCTTCGTGGAGGACTTTCTAAGGGAAACTGTTTCGTATATACGTTACACATTGTATCCAATGGCACCTAATACCATCAATACAGGTAAGTGAGGTGGTATGACGATGAAGAATGCAAACTTCCAATGCTTGTTTTCACGCATGGATAAGAGGATCATGATGTTGTAAGCAAAGCAGGATTCATCAGAAAAAACGACGTGCATCCATACGCATCGGGTTACCAGCGGCCGAGCGGTAAGTAGCTGAACACTAGTAGTTCGGTCCGAGGTTCGAATCCCACGAGCGGGCTGGCTGCATGTGCTTTTTCGTGGTTTTTCCCATGTGTAATGTGTATACAAGCCAGTTTTCCTAAGTAAGTCCTCCACGAAGGCATCATTCCCCTTAGGCAGATAGGCCTCGAGGTTTTGCCGTAATCGCACAAACCAAACCATACGCATCATTGAGCCCACTATTTCAAGATCTTAATTCATTTCCTGCAGCATCAATCCGAGGTAATGATCACCTTCCTAACAGTCCATAGCGTTACAGATGTCTTACTGCACATGCGGATATCTTATACAGAGAACCACACCCAATATCCTGACCTAGGTCGCTTGGCGTGGCTGTACGATCTTTAAGAACGAAGACTCTTATCGGCTCGGGTATTGTTGATTGGGGACCGTTGAGATATCACACGTCTTTCTTTATGATCTTTCACCATTCGATCAATTGCAAAGTCTTCTAACACTCAGTAGATGTCAAACCAATGTGACTTAGGATAGACACGGTTCTTCCGCGATTTAGTTATCGGAGGTGTTGGCGCGAATACCTTTATCTTTCATGACGCACAACACGATCTCCAACACATATAAGAATTATTACGAGTGAAAGTGAAAAATGGGTATTTAAAATATGCCTTTGTTTACTGCTTTGAGATATCATTACCATTATAGTTCGACCGTCTCAAGCGCAACCCTGGTTGGCATTCTGCCAAAACACATAGACTCGTCCAAAAGGGGCGGTATTACTTGGTGCGACGTGAAAGGTCTTCTGTTCTCCGGAAAGAGCTATGCTGGAGAGAAAGAAAGTCTCCATCCTTCCACCTTATTTTGAGAATAATTCGGCCCGAATGGCGCATGCGTGTTTGCGCTTATGGTCGCGAATGAGGCGGTCGAACTATACCTGCAATGTGCATACCGTGTTGCAGCATGTTTTACTTTTTAATATAGCATGTTCTACTTTTTATGTAAATTTTGGTTTTGTGGTGAGTTTCTTTACTGTTATAGCGGTTTCAATGCAGAGCAGTATAGCAGGAATAATAAAATTTACATTGCTACATGTGGAGTAAGAGGGCTTGATCAGAAGAACAAAGATACAGAAAGTACTGCATTTTCTCTGCTTTGCCCAGTAACCCCTATTGCAGTAACTGGCTATAACAGCAACGCTTTTAGAAACATAGGCTGAGTTCTACTAAAATTGTGATCAACAAAAATGCTATGTTTGAGGGTGCGAAATATTACTTTATATATCTTCGCATGTTTACTTTTTATGTTTTTTATGTTGCACAAATTTATTTTCTTGGTTACAGTATTACTTATGTTAACTGCAAAAACTAATACTTGTGAAGTTATTGCATCAGTTTTATATTCAGAATAACATATGCAAGGTATTATCTATATCTCTCACCATGTTCGTGATATCTCTCACCATTTAAGTAACTTTAGCCCAGATATATTATAGAATGATATGTATTTCCGAATTAAAATACGTCATGTAATAAACAGAATAATAATTATGTTGCTTTACTCATTTTATAATGGAGTTGTTTATGACATTAATTTGTAATATATTATGAAATGTATTGATTATTCCAGACCATCAGTTCTATCACAAATGGGCCCTGCTGACAGATACGGATGATATAACTGCGGGTCCCAAAGGATATCTCAAATGTGACATATCAGTGGCTGGAAAAGGAGATACTGTCAAGGTATGTCAATTTATCATTTCTCATATTCTAACCTTGGAAATTGTACTTTGTTTGAATACGATGATAGTTTTAAATTCACATAGATGAATTAACAGAAGTTCACTTTACAGATGCGAATTTAAGAATATGTTAACCTAAATTCTATCTGAATAAATTTTAATTTCTTTAAATAGTTCCGCTATTTCATATTTAATCCTTTTTTTCTTAAGAAAACAGAAAATAAACTTAGTAGATAAGAAACCTATTCTTATTTTTGCAATTTCCTGCTACTCAAGGGTTCTGTTGAACTTCACATCTCTGTTGTGAGAATTTCTTTTTAATTCATACACCATTTAGCTTCATGATTCATTGAAGATAAATTAATACTTGCTAATTCATTTGCCTTTAGAAGCTATTTTCGAATAAATGAGTTTTAGATAAACGGAAAACTTAAAAAACTATTACTTATTTTTCATTGATTTTACAAAACTGTTAGGGCATGCAAGTTGACTGAAATTATAATACGTATAATGTAGTTACAGAAACTTCTAATAATTTAAATGTCTATAATTTAAATTGTGGGTCTATAATTAAAATTGTCTAATAACTTAAATAGACACTTTTAATAAATTAAAATTTAAATTATAATATAATTAAATTATATAATTAAATTATAATTAATATAGAGATAATATATAATATTATTATATAAATATTATAATATATTATATAATTATTAATATTATTATATAAATTTAAATTATTAATATTATAATTTAATATTAAATTATTAAATATAAATTTAAATAGACACTTTTAATAAATTAAAAGTGTCTATAATTAAAATTGTCTAATAATTTAAATTGTGGGAATTTTTAGAAGAGGAAATACCATTTTCAACAAGAAATTCCAGGAAACCTCCCTAACACAGTCATTTTTGGCTACTGATGACTGTAATCTTTTGTAACGGTAGTCGACTTAAAGAACATGCCTAACAGTGACGATCAATAGCAATATTTATTTACATTTCTAGAACTTTTCGTCACGTCTAGAAGTAATTATCTAAGTTAGGTATCAGAGGTTTCACTGTGTTTTTTATCTGGGAGAAAATGTTTTATAATACAGTTCGTGAAAATACTTATATTTACACCGATTCTTTTTAGCCCGAAAGGGCTGTTAGTCTCGAAATGGGATTTTCCGTCGTATCATTATAAATACATCTTTCACTTTTCGAGTCTGTTGCCTTTTGCCAAAATGTAAGATATTTATCTTTCAAACTGAATCTGTCTGTTGGGGATTAACAAACTAAGGTATTTGAAAGCAGTCGATGCAGTTCTTTAGAATACGCGTTTCTTACTTTTGAGTCGAATTGATTTAAATAACAAAATGCATTTAATTCATGATTTATCTGATTAAAAATATTCAGTATTTTCCTACAGTGACGTTACATGTTTTTTATTATTTATGTTATATTTTGTAAAATTTTAATGAATTTGTGATTAACGAAATCAACGATTTCGAAGCAAAAAGTGGGAACACTCTATGAAATAATCCATTTTTATCTCGAGCACACGAGAGTATCTATCGAAATTTTAAAGATATGCTGTTTTTAAATATTTTATGGTTGTGCTGTTGAAATGAATTTTGTGTGGCGTAAGAACAAAGAACTCGATATTTATTGAATAAAGTAAACAAGCGAAACGTTAATAAGAAGAAGATAAAAAAAAATGTTTTGTAAACCAACTTGTAAGAAAGCTGAACATTGAGATGGTGAATTGAGAAAAGATTGAAAAAATAGAAAAAAAACATTGTGGGAATTGTGGGAATGGTTTTAAAATTTTTGTGATGCTGCTGTTGAATTTTATGTGGCGTAAGTGAAAAGAAAACCATGCTTAAGAGTTAAGAATGAGTTAGCATGAGTAAGTGAAAGAGTAAGCTGGTAGACTGCGAGGTTCACGACAGCGTAAAAAGCCTTATAAGGTATTTCTCCCACCTTCTTGGCGTGTCTTCGTGGTGTAGTGGTTCTGCACGCTGGGACGGTATTCCAGAGGTCCGTGGTTCCATTCCCGGCGAAAGCGGTAGCTAATTTTTCATCTCTCCGGCTTTTTCGATTAACCTAATGTCTCTACAGTGGCGCCCGAACTAAAAGGGTGATGGACACATCCAGGATTTTTCGATTGGGTCTCCCCAAACCCCAGTCGCCCTTTAAAAAGGGGGAGTATATAAGATATTTCTCCCACCTTCTTGGCATGCCTTCGTGGTGTAGTGGTTCTGCATGCTGGGACGGTATTCCAGAGGTCCCACGAAGGCGGTTGCTAATATTTTATCTCTCCGGCTTTTCCCGTTAACCTAATGTCTCTACAACCTTAATAAACCCTTTTGGGTGGCCATCAAAATTTGAAACCTTTCAGATTTTATTTTCTTTAAAGAGTTCAAAATGATCATTAGTTATGCGGAACAAGAGAATAGATGCAAAGTAATTTAACTCCCAATGTTAAAACGTAAAATTACTGACACACTGTATTTTGTTGCAACCCTTTCCTTTTCTACGACACAACTTACTAGTCTGACTGCTATTGACAGGTTTCAGATAGAAACATAGCAATAAATTCTTTTAATGAGATTGGTTTGAAGTTTTATTTCTTCAGGAACGAGGAAAGTAACTCTGCTGAGTTCTCTCCGGGAAGCTATTAAACGCATCTGCTTCTTTAAAAGATACGTTTGTAGTAAAATATTTCATGACATAGCCAGTAAAGAGTTGTAAACTCTTCCAAATTTATGTTCTTTCCTTTCTAAAATTATGGCTCTGAATTTCTTTTTGAAATTAAGATTTTCAGCTGAATTTCAATATAATTGCCGCATTTGTTTTGTAATGCCCGTGTGTACGTACGTATGTATATATCCCGCATAAATCAAAAACGATTAGCTGTAGAACGTTGAAATTTTGTATATGGGACTGCTATAACATGTAGTTGTGTAACTCCTTGTTTGTTGCAATCGCCCACACGAAACATATATATGTCATGATATGAAATGAATGATTTGTAGCTTGGCGGTGGCGTAATAGATGAGTAGCGAAGAAACTTGGCAAGACAAACATGTCCGGATTCAAGATAACTTTATTATCGATGAAAGCAAGTCAGGATTCGCAATATTTGGTTCACATATGGACGAGCGTCTTATGCGCTCTAGATTTTTGTTAGATCAGCACATATCCCTTGAACAAAGAAGGTAGCCGCAAAGGAAAGTTTAAGCAAAAGTGACGTATCAGTTCATAGAAAGAAGGGAGGGAGTCAGTTTTTAGTTATGGTTTACAATTTGGTAATTGGTCAAGAGGCATCTGCATTATGGGTTACGTAAGATCGCATGATTAATTTGAATGACGAAGTTTAGACTTATTCGCTATTTTTAGGACAGATGATGAAGTTCCCAAATGAAATAGAAAATAAAAGATGTTATAGTGAATTAAATTTAGAACTTTGCTTTCATATTTTTTATCTTACACATATATATACGTTTATAAGCGACTGGCTATATATATATATATATATAAGTGAATGATGAGTATATATACTCACAGTTTTACCAGGCTCAGTGTGATCTTTTATATACTATATGTAGCATATATTGGTAAACTGCGATTTTTTTTGCTTTAAAAGTGATTGAATTGTGTTGTTCTTATGTTCCGATTAAGGCTTTTGTGCCTTATTCAATCTGGATGCAGTGGTTGCAGAATTATCAAAAATTTAAACGTTTATGTGGTGGTTTGGTTTTTGAATTTTATGTCACTCAAGTGCGCAAAAAGTAGTGCTTAATAATAAAACTAAAAGATAAAAAAGTGGTTTAGCAGGAGAGAGTCAAGAGCAGATTGCTAACTGCGGCGTTCAGCGATAACATAGAAATTCAACAAATTCGACGACGGAAAGTACGACGGAACATGGGAATCCCTTCATATTTCTTTTCTTTTCTTTTTTTTTTTTTTTTTTTTTTTTTTTCTTATTGGAAAAGTTCGTTTGATATACGCCTAGAAATGTGAAATTTTCTGTATATTTATAGATTAATATGTCTTAAAATTTGGCTATCTTCAATGTATACAAGGAAAATCTTATTTTTAAAATTCAGTGGTAACATAGTCGAGTAGGTTTAATCTGAAATAGAGGCATGCAAGCGTATGGGTTAATATTTAAACTGCAAATCTTCGCCTAAATTTCCGTATGCTGAAATCGATAAAGAAATATCATTCATTTCTACTTATTCTGAGTAGTTCTGTGCAGCTGATATTTCGTCTCAGATAGAAAATAATGGTAAAAATTGGGTATCTAAACTTTTCTTTCGTTCAGATTCTTTCTTAAAGCATATTTTTTTATTTTATTTTTTTATTATTTGATATTCAATCGATTTCTTCTTGGTCACTGAATATAACAGTCAATGCAATTTGTCGTCCTTTATTAAAATAAATGTGTTTTTGTATGTAACTAAAACCGTATGGGTGAATATTCATTATATTAAGTGAACAATAATAAATATCATTATTAATTATTAAGTGAATATTAATCATGAATTATTAAGTAAATAATAATTCATTTATCATTATTATTAATTATTAAGTAAATAATAATTCATTTATCATTATTATTAATTATTAACTACATATTAATCATAAATTACTAAACGAATAATAACAAATTATTCATTTCACTAAATTGGTGAGATATCGCCAAGCTGGCAATGGTTTTGCCAACTAATTTTTGTTGCCTAATTTGCCAATAAATCGCCAAAAGGCACCAAATTTGGCGACCATTTGGAGACATTTGGGTCCGATCCATGTACATATATCGATTAATTACATTTATTTAATCATAATACCAGTTACAGTCACATTGATGGCCCCAGGTTCGAACCTCGAAGAAGGCATGTATATTTATAAATGTTTTGTGTTTGCTCATAAAGAGGCACTCAAAATACATGCTCAACCGAAAGACCTCTCAAGTGGTTGGTGGTAGAGAAAGGGGGTGGGAAAC